CCCCACTGCTATGATGCGTCATTGTCTGCTTTCATTGGAGTGAGTTGTCAAATACTATTGTAATATCCTAAATCTTTGATGAAGTTTATAACAGCGGTGATGTTTTCAATGGTTTGAACATTNTCAGAGATATCTTCAGATATAGAATGTTTCAGCTTTATAACTTGAGATTTTTTCTCATGAGAAGATATATCTTATTGTTAAGATCTTGTGGCAATTTTGACTGACTGGAGGATCCGTTTTGTTTACTAGGTTATTGTGCGTTAAGTTGATATCAAACTTTATCACACTGTGAAAGTTAAGATTTTTTGAGTTGCCTATCATTGTTTTATATAATTTACTGAGTGCAAATCGATTATTGCCTATTTTTGTGTTTCTTATCTCCGAATATGGGTGTATTTATTGAAGAAAAGTGTTTGGTAGGTTCCATTTGCGTATGTACATAATCATTCATTAACAACTTGAAGTCTGAATAAGGGATGGGTATATCTGATATTAATTGGGTGAAAGCAAAAATTAAACCTAGAAACTTTATTTGGTTTTCAAATTAAATCTGCATATTATCATACGTTAATTTAAGATAAGCGATGAGAAAATGATAGCTTTAGTTTCCTGTTTAAAATCATGTCATAAGTTATAAAAATAGATCCTAAATTTTAGACTACTTATGGTAATGGACTACTCTAACTATAACATAAGTTAAAATTATAGTTGGAGAATACTGAAATAACACTGGACCATAGTTGCATTGTAACATTTACCAATAATCAATTCCCATGCATTCTTACAATATTCTACAACATCAAACTGATATCAAACTCTATCACACTGTGTGTGTTTTGCGCGTGTTTATTTAGTTGAACGTGCAGGTGTATGTTTGAATGCGTTTGTCGTGTGCGTGTGTGTGTGTGGTTGAATGTGTGAGTTTTTGTGGTTGAATGTGTGTGTGTGGTTGAGTGTGTTGATGTATATATGAGCGCGTGTGCGTGTGCCATTCCTGCAACGATAACGAAGTGTCGCTTCTAAATAAAAGAAGAAATTACACAAACTCGGATTCAGAGTTGGTCGGAGTCGGAGATTCTCGCTGGAGTCGGAATTTTTTAGAAAACCGGAGTTAGAATTGGATATTTTAAGAAATATAATTACGTAACCATTTCAGGAGAAAGGTTTAACGATTTAAAAAAACGATTTAAAAATTTCAATTTTTTAATCTGTAAATATATATATACGCTAATGATGACAATAAAGTCACATGATCTTTTTACAGTATATTTTGTAACAAATACA